ATTATATTTCATATTGATAAGCTCAAAGCGTAGGATATCTGAACTATCTAGACTGTTTTGAAATGAAAATACCGGAACACTGAAACGGTTTCACGAAGCTACGAGTATTTGAATATGAGTTAAATAAATACTTTTTGCATCGCATTGAAATACTTAGTGTTTTAAGACACAAATAGAAAACATATATGATATTAATACTGTCTGTAGTTTACGCGTGTAGTACACATTTATAAAACACTTTTAACGGTTTAAAATACGTAATGTATTAGTTAAACTTATTAATTTGACATAAGCTTATTATTTTGACGGCTGTTACAAATCATCCGAAACGTCGGGCAATTGTTAAAATAATTTGCAAATAAGTTTAACTAATATATGTAGCTTTCTCTTTAAACCGTTTTAGGTTTTAACTTTCGTTTAAAGCAATGTATTTTCAACCTTGGCACTTATAAGGGTATTTTTTAATTTATATAGTGCCATCATGTGCAATAACATATAAAAAATATTCGTTTTCAAACTTGTATCATTATTCTAAAATATTAAATAGATTTTTCAACCTATCAAATATCGTTCAGGCTTAGTTTATACTGCTTACAATTTCAGATTTCGCGCCAAATTTTGTGAATCTAATTACGAAACAATGTAATGAAAATTCCTACCCTGAAACCTTACTCTGAGTATGAGTTTGACAGACACAAAACATTTATAGTAATCAAGTGCTATAATAATTACATTGAGGCACTTAGTTCTCTCAAGGTTCTGCCGGAGACGTTAGTAATTCTATAATCTAATCACACAACGTATAATTATGGCCATGTTAGGTTAACTTAACATATGTATGAGTTCGGGTGTTCGATAACAGACTGTTGTCGTTTGCAACTTTTACAAATGTATAAGATGACACTGAGAGCTTCGCGATTTCTAATACTCTTGTACACTTACACAGTTAAATACTGTCTATAGTTTACGCGAGTAGTACACATTTAAATAAAACACTTTAACGGTTTAAAACGCAATATATTAGTTAAACTTATTTGGATCTATCAACGAGTCTTGGCTTCTATTGCCCACCGGTCCTAACATGTTTCTAAAGGCAATTTATATTTTCTTTTAGCTGTAAGAAAGCTGTAGAATCGACGATCATTGTTTTTACCCGTGTTTAGTTACACTTTCTTCTCCACACTACCTTCCCCGCTCTGTCATAAATAATTTTCTTTGTTTTTTTTATTATTATTAAGGAATAAAAATAGAAATAAAATAAAATAAAACGCAATTAAGTATTCACGAATTTTCATCTGTGCGGACGTAATTTCCATATTCCTACCACTGATTTAATGTCCAGATTTCTAGACGCAGTCCAGCATGTTTCAGAAAATATTGAAATATTTTGGATTTGGAGGAGATCGAATACAGGACCAATTAATCATTAGCCATACTTCTCTACCATAAGACCAAGAGCCGGTCGCTGTTCCAAGTTTACAGCCCCACTTCAGACCTGAACGTAGAATAACCGCTCAGTCAATCGATATTGAAGAAAAACACTTGTCTACGATGTATGTTGAGCATTATTGATGAGCGAGCTGCCCAATTATCGACTGCCCACACCGTATATACCTGGAGTACGTAAAATTCATTACGGCCGGTTAATGGCTTCGACGGCGGCTTGGTATCGTCTGCAAGTTAGTAACAGAACTTGCACCGTACGTATGTGTGAGACGCGATGTATAATGTAGTTTACGCGAGTAGTACACATTTAAATAAAACACTTTAAAAGTTTAAAACGCGATATTTATTTGTTAAACTTATTTGAAAGTCTATTTTAATGTTTTTCACGCGGTATTTCACGTGATGGCATTATATAAATTAAAAATCAATCTTACATTTAACGTTTGAGAACTCCTCTATCATTAAAAAAAATACATACGTATTATAAAATATACACAAATTTAATTATTCCCGTTCGAGCTGCGTAAGTTGATTAAGTGGTCCAAACTGTCTGAATTAATGATTCCGTTTGACGTTCGATTTTTTTACTTTTCATATAAGGCTCACAGCTATCGCGACTGGGGTTGATAATCAGCGTTTTGCCGATACAAATTCGTTCTTATTAAAATAAAACAGTTTAACGGTTTAAAACGCGATATATTAGCTGCTGCAAAGCATCCGAAACGACGGGCCGAAGTTAAAAATCATTTCCAAATAAGTTTAACTAATATATCGCGTTTTAAACCGTTAAAGTGTTTTATTTAAATGTGTACTACTCGCGTAAACTATAGACAGTATTTACTTCAATCTAATTTATAAGAAGTGTTATTTTTTTGTATATTGAATAATTTTTGTTTTTTTTACTTCTTTTTTAGTGCCCCTAACATTAAAATGGTGGCGCTAGCGTAGTAGATTTTTGGTTTAAGACTCGATTTACACTAGGAAGTAGTAGATTTCACTAGTAGCAGTCGATATTGTTCTTCTCTGTAATTATACCTGATTTCTCCAAATACTATCACCAATATATTTCGTGTTTTAAATCGATATAATATATAAGAACTAAGACGTACCACACAATTTTTACATACCTGTCGTGAAAACAATCGCACAAAATCCTCACATTGTATTTTTTGCATACATATGTAATAAAACACTTATATGTTGAACTACCAACACATTCGTCACCAGGGAATGTTTTACCGGCCATAATTCCGGGAAAGCGGGGTGAGGTCACTTTTAAATAAATGCCGTTACCGCACAACCGAACACAATTGACAGTCGACATTAAACGCATTTAGTGATGTTCCCTGAAGAGCGTGTGTCAAATGCGCACAAAAATATTAATATAATCTGGGACTGAAGCATGAAGTCTAGAAATGGTGTACATACAAGTAGACGAACACGTTTTCCAATTAATGGAGTACCGGTTAAAAATAAGCATCTACCCGCGATCTTTATTTATTTTTGATTTACTAAAAAAAAAAAAAAAAAAAAAAAAAAACCCCCACAAGACAAGTAGTGCCACTAAACTACCTTATTTTAATTCCCGCGCATTATTTGAGTAAAGTACTACACGAGCCTTGGCCGCAACAAGGCATTGATGGACTTACGTATGTGTACCTCGACTTCTCTTCGGCCCACATTCACGCTTTCCTCTATCAATGCACTTGCCAGTAATTGTACTATGCAACCGTGTGTCTCTCAAATGATTAATAGAAGTTAACCACAGTGGGTGTTGTTAGGAACACAAATCAAAAAATACAAGCATGGCTAAATTTAAATCAAACTTAAATTACAAAGTAGCCGATTAAAAGCGCACTAGAATTTTTCAGCCCTCTCAGTTAACCGAGAGACGCCAAACGCTAACCGAATAAGCAAGCTCAAAGGGAAATGTGATAAATTAAACTGATAATGGGAAACAGGGGTAACAATATCTACGTCACTGTACACTGTCGCAGTGTTCTGTGTGACTTAACCATCGTCTGGCTATTACGTCACAAGTGTCAAAGTTACTTAAGTCTGTATAACGTAATTGTAATCTATAGAGTTTATAAACTTTCTATAAAGTCTTATACGCACACTGATTTAAATAAAACACTTTAACGGTTTAAAACGCGATATATTTAGTTAAACTTATTTGAAAATGATTTTTAACTTCGGCCCGACGTTTCGGATGCTTTGCAGCAGTCGTGGTCACGGGGAGACTGCCCCCCCAAATAAGTTTAACTAATATATCGCGTTTTAAACCGTTAAAGTGTTTTATTTAAATGTGTAATACTCGCGTAAACTATAGACAGTACGCACACTGATTACATTAATTTCTACAGATTACTTATAATCTATCGTCACGGAACCGTCTCATTGTGTCAAAACCCCTTTTTAATTTTTTTAAAGTACAGAACGTAAAAAAGCGTCATTCTTAAATTTACGTTACATATAACAGTGAGTTAGTTTTGCAGTTCAGTTAAAAAAAAGGCTGATTTTACATTTGCAGGTAAAGAACAATTTAAATATTTTAATCTTTATCTTTACTATATGGATACTTTCTGTTGTTATGTTAACCGATATATTACAGTATTAATCTGAAGAACCGAAATTAAAAAACATAAAACAGGCAAACTAAAAACCGAAGGTAACTAACCCGTATGAAAAAAAAAAAACATATTCCAAAAATCACGTTTTTGTATTATGCGAAAAAAATATTCGAATTCTCGATACATAACTTCCATTCACGTCTCGATTGCGATACGCGTTCTCGCTATAACATCAGAAAATAACGATGTAAATTGTTATGGATAGATCAACAGTATAACGGGGTGAGCAGAAATACTCAAAAGGAGAACGCCTGCAAATGCTTCGACTTCTACAAAGTACCATTCAGTGAACTTGCCCAGAAATCGCGAAGTGCTTTGATGACTGCATAATAAAGAGCAAGTATTGGAGTGTTATAGAACCGATTGCCTAATACCTCCGTAACGAGGACGTCAAAGAAGAATAATTAATTGGTTCCTTAGAGGCACCATGTAGGTGTTAGCTGGTCTGAGCATTTATTTTTACCCATCGCGTAGGGAGGAATTATTGAATAGACGTTATTGAAACGTACAGGTAATAAATAAAATGATTTATAAAAATATCCTTAAACCTATTAGGGCTTCCTTAATTTTGATATCGTATCAATAACTAATTATTTTTAGAAATTTTGATACAATTATTTACGTTTAATCATTTAGCACTAAGATAATTAATAAATAAATTGTATTGTAACAATTTTCTACTAGTTTTAATTCAAATGTCAAACGTGAGGTATCACTGAAAATAGGTGTTGTGCCTACTTCCAAAAACAACAAAAGCCGAGTGGTGTCCCTCCACACACATCTCTTATTATTCATGTCATTGTATTTCTATGTGTACCTGTCACACACAAAAAGAATCAAAGCGGCTTCTCGATACTACGGCATATGATATACGTACTTTTTTTTAATTTTTTGGCAATTTAAAGTAATAGAAGTACTTACAAATGTCTAGAGCGTGCAAGATGCAAGCCCGGGCGAGAAGCAGCACAGCTACCACACACGGAACCATCTCGCAGCGCTCACTCCACCATTTCTACCGGTATGAGTCTGAAACAAGTATCATGGCTTTAATATTATTATGACAAAAATCCAAGAGGAATAAGTAAGATAGAGAAATCGAATCGAATACTAATCGTAACCATAATGGCAGATGAAACCACAAGTAGCTATAGTTATGCACTTATCTTCCAACAAGTTTTTCTCATTTGAGATGGATATCAAAATATGTATGGGAATTATTCATTCTTAGTAAACAAATACACACTTTGCACCTAGAGATAAGCGCCAAATGTCGACAATGATAAGGCCGCATTCAAATTATAAAGATGAAAAACCAACTATATTGTGCCGTACTTTTGGTATATCACGAGTTTTTTTTTAAAGACAAGTTTCGGTCTGAAAACTATTATTTTTTACATGTTATTGCACATGAAGGCACTATATAATTTAAAAATCGAAAATAAATTGAAAAATTTTTTCGACTCGAACAATTTTTTCAATTTATTTTCGATTTTAAAATTATAAAGTTTCGGTCTATTTAAAGATAAAATTAATAATTACTTCCTAAAAACACTGTTTGTTATACGAACTGAACGATCTCCACGTTTGAAATTCACAAGCATACTACAAGTTAACTTTGATTTGCCTCAAAGTAACAGCGACGAGCGCCAATACACCGTAATTTCGTTCTGTGGGCGATATAATTGCTAACAAGAACTTATTGATATAAAAATAATGTTTAACAAGAATAACTCATTTCAAACAGTAATAAGAAAAATAGTTCGCACAAAGTAATACGTCTTATTAATTTAGTTATATAAAATAGAATTAATAAATAGTTTTAAAATCGTTTCGATTATAACACCTCTGAATACCACGTTTCAGAACAAAGCAATCATTGAATTCAATATTCAAAGGACGAAGTTATGCGTAAAAAATAGCATATATATAAAGGAGATGTTATTTTGAAGTCGCTTACAAACAACATCGAATACTGCGCTACACACAATGATAATGTATACGTATCTTAGAAATTTTAAAACTATGTTCTTTCTTCAGGCAACACTATTATTACTATATCGTACTTCTTCGACACAACAAGTATTGCTTAATTTAAATAAAGGCAATTCTTTTTAAAGTCTAATACAATTATAGAATTAATAACAAACAAAACAAAACTCCAAACTCAATGAAAAAAAGAGAACCACAAAAATATTCGTTAATGTATATTGAGTAATTGTATAAATAAAAGCCTATATCTCTAAAAAATTTCACGAGATTCTGCGCATGCGAATCAAAAGACGCTTCCCTATATTTCGAAATTTAAAACTCAGCCTGTACCAAACAGAATCCTTTGGTTAAGTACACTCGGGAGTGAGGGTCTACGAGCAAGATAAGATTGTGTGCGCTGTAGTCATTTGGTTAACACAGGCAAGCTTCATAGCTGCTAGAGTTATGTGTTTGCTTCCAACTAAGCGAAGGATGCACATGCACATTGCACGTAGGCACCGACAAAATGTACACACGAATCATTCACGACACTTGGAAGTTTATTTATGGCTTTGCTTTCAAAGCCTTTGTTGATTCCTGTAATGTGTACGGGAATCATACTGCTTAGCTGTGATGTAAACGTTTTACAAATGTTGAACAGTCAGCCTTAAAAGCCCACAAACAGTCATGTACATTAATAATGATTACATACTTTAACGTGTTTTTCATTTCAAATCTTAACAAATTCCTAGTTAATAACAATTAAACAGGTGGTTCACTTAAAAAAATGTTATAAGTCAGTATTTGTTGGCCAATTTTGGTCTTATAAGTAGTTGAAATCTTTACTTTGTTATTGTCTTGCCTCCCTGTGACCAGGGTTGCTGCAAATCAGCAGACACATCGGGCTGTAGTTATTATTTTCAAACGAGTTTAACTAATATATATCGTGTTTTAAACCGTTGCAGTGTTTTATTTAAAAGTTAACTTAATAAGTTAAAACTTCTAATGGTCCAGAGTATTAGTTCTCAAAGATCAAGTAAAACAAGTAACTCCTCTAGATTTTCTCATTTTTTTTCGATAAAAATAATGGTTTCCAACAAAGCAAGAAGTTAGAAGAAAGAAAAATTATATAAATTATTACACAGTTCCATTATTACCATAAATATAGACAGTAAACCAATATAAAATATATGTATTCATAATGTATATATTACAAGTCAAGTGCAGGAAACTGGAGGAAAACAAAGAAATGAATGACAATGGCCCAAACAATGGGATAGATGTTTTTAAAGTGTTGTTAGTCAAGACCTAATTGGAATAGCTGTGTGCATAAAAAGATAAAAAAGACTATATTTTAGGCTCTTGTGTTTGTGACGTTTTTTTAAAAACTTTAGGAGCTGAAAATATAGAGCCTACATTATGCACTAAGTAGTTGTAGCATGGCAAAGATAGGCCAATTATGTAGTTGTATTTCACAATAAAACATTGTATATTAGTTTAAGACCCGTTTATATTATTCCAGTACAGTAACCCAGTAGTGCGGAACTGGATCAAGCTGGTGTTATTGTCCATATGATTCCAATAAGCCTCCTTATAATTAAATTGTTAAGACAAGATTATTGTCACATTCCAGGGAACCGGAATGGCCGAACCAGTGTCATGAGCCGATCATCATCATCATCAGATCATCGAATTCGGAGCAATACTGTGCAAATTTACAGTAATCAAAAATGGTAAACGATTTAAATGTGTAAAAAGTATCCAGTTGCCAATTAATATATAAAAAAATAATGGGTGTCTTTATATACTCTTTTACTATGAGTAAAATTATTAAGATATAATATAGCAGCAAACGGCATTTTAAAGTGAATTTATTTTCGTAACCGTAAGACATAGAATTTTCCATTTCCAACCCTGTGTATAATAGACAATTTCAACTTGGAACAATATTGTTTATATATAATAAAAATAAAGAGGTGAAACAATTATTTTTTATTTATTTATCTGCATAATACAAAGTAAAGGACACACCATTACTACTAATAGTACGGACTAGTACATATTGAATCAAGACTTCCAATTGAAGATAATAAGAGTATCAATGACTAATCAAAATTCGGACAAAGCATTGTTATGATATGTTCTCATAGTTCAATAACCTTTAAATTGTGTATTAAACTACATATAATCTGTGTAGTTTACTTTTAAGCTAAATTAATAAAAACAATTAAATTAATAAACAACAAAAAAATACTTATACTTTAAGTAAAATATCTAGATAGAAGTACTCTTTAGATGTAACACACACATTTGTTTAAATTGGGAATTAAACTAGTACTTTTTTATAATTAGGACTCAAAGCTTCAGATGCATTTCTGTGGCCAAACCTATGTGTACTTTGATAAACGAGACATAAAAATTATGGAAATAAGGTAGATTGATATTCTCAATTTTTCTTATTGTTTAAACTTTTTTACTTAGGTTTGCATTGTTGGTTTAATAGAATAGAACTTAACTTGTGCTTATTTTTAAAGTTACATTCAAGTTTACATTCTAGTTAATAATAGAGATATAAAATTTATAATGATGTGTTATTATTTTGGGCTATCAGAAATATTGTTGAATATATATGCAACATTTTTCCATAAAATATATCAGCAAAGCAGCAATAGGAAAATAAAAAATGTATTACTTAATTTATTAAAATTTTATAATGTAATAAATAAAATTGAAACTACAATTTTTCAGATATGACAAACATACAAATATTTTTTTAAATATGAATTTCTATATTATATTATTGTAGTTTCGTCAAACCTAAGTTCATAAGCAGATAGTAATAGCATTAACTGTATATCCAAACCAATTTTTATAAATTACGACACTATTGGCCGCAACTTAACTGTAAATAATATATCTATCAACAGACACAGTGAGCATATTGAACAGAAGGGCCATTCATAGCTTTCTCTTAATAATTTATTTACGTTTAGAAGAGGCATACTTTTTGTAACAAAGGCCAACTCAGAGAGAATATCTGGAACATAATTTATTTAAAATTGTAGTGATCTTTAATCGATTTTTGATAATATGTACCTTATATGAAATAACTCACCTTCGAAAGCCAGGTACATAGGTGAAACCCGGTAACATGGGGTCGTGGAGTAAATTAGCATAACTTTGTCCTTACACTTTCAGGATTATGATCCGAAAACATATTATAATAACACCTATAGTCTTGATTCACTATTCACCGAGGGAACTTAAACATTTTAAGTGTATGTTTATTTACGTTTAGGCAAATTTAGAACGAATGTGAAACAATAATTTAGAAAGCAGCTTTCATTAATCGACCACAGCACAAAGCTGAAAGCTCGCACAACCTAATGCCAATCGCTTATACCAATAACCAATAGGATGAAGCTATAAAGAAAAGAGTGTAGCTATCATACTGAAGTCAGCTCCTACAATATGCCTTCTATGGTCAATGGTAATCTGTGCTGTAGGCTACAGCAAAATGGTAGATGTAGTACATGCTGTATTTTTAAACCACAGACTACATAAAAGATATAGGCATGAAATCTATGCGCACAATAGAGTAGGTTAAGTAACCACAGATTACATCGACAATAATCTTTTTATTGTCCCAAAAATATTCCTTTATTAAGTATTTAACGCTTAAAGTAATATCCCTATATAATAGAATACTGGAAGTAATTTTTAATCTGTGTTTAAATAATTTTATTTTACGAGATTGATCTGATTTATTCGGTAATCTGTGTTGCATAGGGATTTTTTTTATATATTCCCGCCAAACCTACTATCTGTGGCCATCATTGTCTTATTGTGGTATTGGCAGATACTGTAAATTTTTACGTATGTATTGAATTCACATTGAATTAACAAAAAGTTAGTTATAGTAATTGTCGTATGCTAGTAGTTTTGACTCTTAGTGTTTCTTTAATTTAATTACAATATGGCAAATATAGCGGCGAAACGCATAAAAAGAGAAATTATTGAAGTCGTGAAAGGAGAGGAGGTATGTTTCGAAAAAGTTTATCGAATCGTTATATATATTGTTTTCATTCTAACACTGCACTTTTACAATTCTGTCGTGCTTACCTACCTAATGACCAGATATAGGAAAAATTTATAATTGGCTACTGCCTTTGTTTATTTAGTTTGGGCCACAAAGAAATCTATTTGTAGCCCTCTGATTCAGCATCTTTTCATACATTTTATTATTATGCAGTAATTCATTTGAGAAAATACACATTCAAATAAAATAGATACATGTCATATCATGTTTTTTTGTTAAATAAACCAATTAAATAATATGAATACCTACATTTTTTTGCTTTTTACTACACTAATATGTTTTAACTCTTTAATTTTTATCCATAAATTATTATAGATTAATTGTAGTTTGCTTGTAAATTATTGAATATTTTAAAGGTAAAATTAATATAGAACAATCCTATATTGCATGTGACCTTTTTAAAAGTTGAACATTGATAAAGAAGAAATACTTAATATATATCAGAAATTATGCTGGTTATTACTATAACAATTTGTCTTCACAAAACAAATAGACAGACAAGATATTTATCTTTATATACAATACTTGGCCTTCCAACTACTTATCAGGACATTACATTTTGTTCCATTTAACTTGCCCTTCTCTCTATAGCTTTAATTAATTTGTAATACTAATACTTTTTAACACTACATGTTGTATTGAATATGCACATAAAAGGTACACTTTTAAGAAGGTTAAGTTTAAGCTTGAAGTGTTGTTACATTTATGAATATCATGTAATATTTAAAGACAATAAAGACTTCCAATATATACTTTTTAAATTTAAACATAAAATTACATATACACAAGAAAAGTTAAATTGATGTAATTTAATTAAAACCATATTATCTGCTCATATATTGGATTTATTAGTATTCTCATCCTTATTTTCTATCGCGATATAACAATAAAAAGCTGGATGATCAGTTCATTAAATGCTTACACCCATTTCCACAATTCCTCTCCGAGGAGGATGTTAGGTTATAAAATTAGGATGGTTTCACAACCTTTAGTAATCCTTTATAAGAAGTTATTACCAACACACCTTGAGTTTTTTAATATTGTCTTATCTTATAATATTCTCTATAAAAAAGGATAGTGCCTTAACCATTACTTGCTTTATCCTTCTCCAACCCGATGATCATCCAACAAATTATCACATATGTTTTCTATGTGGGCTTTACTTTAATTACTAGTGATATATATCTCATCTTTCTTAAGGTACCCTCAATATATTCGCTGTATAAATGTACCTTATGGGTTGACCACTCCATCCTTTTTAATTAATAACGTCCAGTTATATACACGTCACTTATATATACTTGTAAATTCCTTGTGATTTTGTGCACTGTTGCGTTTAGTAAAATGTGACATTTTCATGTTCATATTTTGGGCATTGGTTTGAATAGAGCTCATTAAGTTTTGTTTTTATTAATGGTATATTTTATTATTATTTTCTTTCGGGGACACCTGTGGTAGGACGGGTGATCAGTCCACATTATCAGCTGACCATTTCACCCATTTCCCCATTTCCAATGGTATATTTACTTACTCCGCTGGCGCAGGATACCAAAGTTGAGAGTTATTTCATATATAATGCTGAAACCACTTCATGTAGGCCAGTGTATAGTGTACAATTATTATAACATTTTACATAGCTTTTGTTTTTAATGTTGAAACTCATTTACCGACATAAATTTCTTATCCATTTAACATCTAATTTGCAATGTGCGTACAACATTAGCTTATATTTGTCAGACCTTTACTGCTTTTTTCTTAATTATATTTAATTACAAAAGCTACCAAACGAGCACTTGCATTCACTTACTGACATTAGAAAATGGGATTATCACAAAACCTGTTGTTCTTGATCATAATATTCACATACATAAATGTATAACATTGTTGGGACTAGGACATGCAAACAAATTTTACATTTTAAGAGTCTCTTACTTTTTCTGTTTTAATGTTACAGGGTGTGCTAAAACTAGAATTAGTAAATAATGCCTGGACAGATCTGCTCGGGGAAATTGCTGGCCCACCAGACACTCCATATGAAGGTGGTTTATTTAAATTGGAAATCAAAATTCCAGAGACATACCCATTTAATCCACCAAAGGTATGTATAATCATTAAACATGTGTGATTGCTTCCATAGGCAAAGATTGAGAAAGAAGATTGTTTCGGTTGAGCTGCACAGAAGTCTGATCAAGTAAATGCTTGTAAAAGAATGGAGTGAAAATCGATTTTATTTACCTATAAATAGCAAAGTAGTCTATACCTATTGGCTTGTAACAGTGGAATAGTGACTTTGGCAGAATTTTTAATTATTTATTTCATAAGTTTAATAAGAGACAGGTGTAAATACAGTGTTTCACTGCAAAGAGCTTATTAAGGTACTTTGTCACACTTCCACGCTCACTTCCATTCCCAAAAAGCAGAAGAAGAAAGTTTCAATGTTCCAATTTCAAAAATCACGTATTTCCATACAAACTCTCATCCTCTTTTTCAACCCTTCTGCCTTTTAATGCCAACAACACTATTGGCATTAAAAAGTAACCTATGTCAATTTCTCGGGCTCTAGAATATGTGTTTACATTTCATTTAAATTGGTTCAGTAGTTTTGGCGTTAAAGCCGGACAGACATAGTTACAGATATAGTTACTATCGCATTTATAACATCCGTCTTGATTTTCTGTTGCAGGTAAGGTTCATAACAAAAGTCTGGCATCCGAATGTCTCGTCAGTCACTGGTGCTATCTGCTTAGATATTCTTAAAGATCAATGGGCGGCCGCCCTCACGTTACGAACGGTGCTACTATCAATACAGGCCCTGCTTGCATCGGCTGAACCAAATGACCCCCAAGATGCAGTCGTAGCTAGACAATATATAGAAAACGAGCCGCTCTTTGAGCTAACAGCTAGGCATTGGACAAATGTGTATGCCAATGGCCCCACAGTGGTCTGGGAATTCAATCAAAAGGTGCAAACGCTCTTAGAAATGGGTGTGGACGAACACAACGCCAGAGTTGCCCTCTCCACATACAACTGGGACGTTGAAGGTGCCACTGAACAGATCTTTAGTTAGTGTTGGTGTATAGGTAGAACATAATACATATTATATTGACTCTAGCCCAATGGCTAGTATCGAAACAAGTAATACAATGCACTAATGAATCATTAGATATTAGAACAATTATTATTTTATATCGCCGTTTTAAAAAAATATGACTCTTTATTTAAATTATTTTGTATTCTTTGGGGCTTTCTTTCCCTGACATCGCATAATTATAATACGCTAATTTAGGGAGTGTACTCAATAATGAAGTTTATTTATCATTCTCATAAGAAATTCAACACTAATTGTATTAAAGATGTACAGTATATTGCTCAACATTTTGGAGAATGCTTTTTTGTTCTTTCCTTTTCGAAAAAACCCCTAGAAATATGTATTGTAAGGGTGATAGATATTAGCAATGTATAGAAGTTATCGAGAAAATTTCAGACGACTTTATCCTACCAAAATGACAGTAATTAACATGAAAGCTCGGTGTTTTCCTTTTCTTTCACTTCTCTTGTCAGTTACATGTGGCTTTATAACATTTCTTTAACTAACCTATGTTTATTTCAAACTAATATTAATGTGTAAATGTGAGTTGGCTGTATTGAGTGCCTCCCTAAATGTTTCTTGCAATAAAAAATATCTTATTAATGAAAGGTGATTGGATACTGTCACATATTATATTTAATAAGCAATACTAAATGTGATTTAAAGTAAGGTAAATTTCAATGTACAGATTTTTTTTGTTTGTTTTGTTTCACCGGCCCAAGCTATAGACATCTGCCCGCCTTGGGCCGCATTATTGTATGGGTTCTGAAGGTATAATTTAAGCAACATGGACTAGATGCAAGACTGCCAATGGTCTGTCAGTGGAGGACAGACAAACCAGTCAGACTGGCCTCAACAGATAGCAGAATAAGTTACTTATCGTTAAAGATATCCATAACTTTATTTTGACGTATTGTTTAGTTTTGTGAAACTATTCAAAATTTATAAAAAGAAATAAAAATTGGTATATCAAAAATAAACCTCTTTTCCTGTATTCCGACAGCTGCTTTCAGACAGCCTTATTAATAAGTGGGATTTAAAAAAATCTAAATAAAAAAAACTTTATTGTTTCCACATGGTGCAGATAGAGTCCCTAGTCCCCACATCAGATGGAGCCTGTGGGTGACTAGTCTCTTCCAAGTTACAAACAATAAATAAATAATATCTAAGCGAACTTACCTTTGCTTATGCATATCTTGACAATTCCTTCGTTCCTTAAACCGAGTTTTAATATTAGCGAAATTAAAGTTGGGCGGTATATGAAATCGTATTAATGAATATACGTTTGACTTCACTTGAATTAAATCTCACTCCAAGACAAAAGAGATGACTCAGGATTTTTTTATCATATTACTGCTTTACTAGTATCGTCACAGTCTCTATGCAGAATTCAGATACATAAGTAATTATCGAAGATCATTACACAATATCCTTTCACTGTCTATATCTGAAATTTCAGCTAAAATTACTAAAATTACTAAAAAACTAAAATGTTTTTGAATATCTCCATTTTAAATTTGCCGCGTCTTTAAGATAGTTTAGTTGTCACCAGCCATTGGTGATTTTAATCTGACGTTGTTCATACATTAATAAGAAGTTCATGGTTCAAAGCTCGCAAATGTATTATTTTTAAAGAAAAGATAATCAAGCTAAATACATGTATTAACTTTCGATTTTTTCGTGTATTGTTATCCGCGCCATCTCTTGGCAGCTAGTAGCATTGTTCAAGGTTGTTGACAGAACTTGTAAAGCAGCCTCCGTGCGCACAGGCAGTAGTGCTACGTTGTCAGCGTTGGCGCATCCGTTCGAAGTAACCTGAAGTTTGACTAGTTACAATTAACAATATCAGTCAACTCAGTCACGACTACGACTTACTGTGCGATTGGTCTACTGCTATATTTCCATGTATAACACGACGGTGACAAAGTGCAAACAAAATCAGAATGTAATTAAATAAAAGTGGTTTTTTAATTAAAAATTTCCCTTCGTCTTCCCTAGTTACTATTCAGTAGAGGTACTTTCTAAAGCGTATTTGATTTTCCGCGTGTGTCTCGTTTCATGCTCGCGCCAACAACCGTGTGTGTGTATAAATAAATATTAATTTTATAGTTTTAAACCTTCATCATGACTATTTCGTACGCCGGTGAGGTGCCCAACGGCAGTAGCTTCGGTTGTTTCTGGCGGATACTTTGCAAGTAAGTAATGAGGATCGAGTTTTCATTGAATGTTTATCGGCCCTGGCTCACGACTGTAACCCCAACAGCTGTTCCGCGCAGTGTCCTTTGCGTAGGTACCTACCTAGCTATGTGATGAAATTGCAGACCGTTTGCCCGTGGTCACAATTGTTATTACAATGACTCTTCCATCTATTGTGACGTATCACTTTTGTTTTGTTCGTTAAACCACCCAAGTCTCAGTGCGTTCGACTTGTCTGAGATTTATTGCAATAATTAGTTTTCAACCTTGACGTTGGCTAGAGATGGATTCGATTAGGCCAGAGTGAATTGGTATTCGATGCTGGCTCGTTTGGCCCTGACAACGAAATGTAGCGAAAGTTAACTGTGACGCATACGATAAATGATTAATACCTTTTCAAATCAATCAGTTACACCTGATAACGTTGTTTATTTTTTATGAAGGTAGTCGCCTACCTTACCGTACTTGTAAGTAACTACCCACTAATTCTAGTCTAAAACGAATACGATAAATTTATTGTCATCGGGATTAGATATCCACTGGAAATTACCATTGATTACGACTAGGTATACCATTTTCTTCTTCTTCTTAATTTCATGGCTTTCCCATTCTGCATGAATTCTGCCAATATCGTGTATCGATGAGAGGCGTGATAGTATAAATTATTATTGTTACTTTTTTTTGTTTTTTTTACTTTTATTTTTTATTTTGATATTAAGAAAAATGGCGGTACTTAAAAGAATGTATATATTTAAAAAGAAATGTCGCCACACTCGTATTAAGATGGAGTTAAAAAAAATTAAACATAGACATGCAATCATTATGTCGTTCAATTGATATTTTTCCATTTGCACTCCTGTCAAAATACCGCTAGATATAGCCGTTCGACAAGCTGCCTGTTTGTTTTGCTTATTTCACAAGAGTAACACAACGGTAAAATGTTAACGAAACTTTTTTGAAAGGACTTCAGCACGTAGATAATAAACTGTATGCGATAATTGCATTTTTTAGGTAACAATGGGTACTTTCATAGTTAAATATACACTAGGAATTGGCTTTTCGCTTGCTGTTCTTAGTTTCTTTTTTATAATATGGTTAAAAGTAGATTATATTAATATACTTACTTAAAATTTAAAGACAGTTGATGTGAAAATACGTAGAAAAAGATATGATTTCTTTACCAATCCTTTAAATTCTATGAACAATAATATTGACTATACTAGGCATTGCATGGTCGTATATTTATATAATGTTTACAATACGTAATAAAAAGTTCCCTATTATCTTATTTTAACTTGAACGAATCGTTTACAATGTTTTATTCTCAAGTATATATATAACTGTTTCAGTGACTTCCGCTAAGAATATTTATTTTGGGCATCCAAATTCGTTCTTGCAAACTCCTTCATCTTTATAAACTTAAGTTGGTATCCACGATGTTGGTCGCATCCCTTCCCGTCGTTCTTGCAAGTTAATTTTGAAATAGAGACATATGTCGTGGACTTTTTTTTAGATAATTTGAAGAGAAATCATTCTTTCATACGTATTTTTGGGGTATCTTGAACCGTCTTTGTAGCGTACGCCTCGGAAACCCATTATAATTAATGATTTTCACATTTCTCGCCGTATTTCTATCCAGCACAAAAATATTTTTTCAATTCGAACTGCTAGTTCCTGATATTAGCGCTTTCAAACAAACAAACTTTTCAGCTTTATATATTGCTACAGATTAATAGTTTATCTTTTTCAGTTATGCTGGTTATCGAAAAACTCGCTGACTGAAAATAAAAGATATGTGTTTATGTCCTCGTGCTTAAGAGAGATTTTGGTTAACTAAAGAGAATCAAACTCCTGACTTCAAGCTAGTAGGGTGTTCTTATCACTATAATTAACATAAAATATTTTTAGCTTCATTTCAACGTGTTAAAAGAAGTGAAATAAAACTTATTACAGTTCGTAATCTGTACTATACGCAATTTTATTATACAAAAAAATATTTATTAAGTCCACAAAGAATATCTATTTAATTTAAAAAATGCTAACAGTCCGAATATACAAAGCAAATATGTACCTACGTAGCTCTGTTAATATTAGATTTGAGTGTTGAGTTTAAAAATTATAAGACATCTAATTACATACCTAATACTGAACACAAAACATTAAACACAATTTTTTTAACAGTAACAAAATGACTCGTAGTGATATAATAAGTACTTGCAGTCACGTACTTGTTGTGTTATGATGAAATATTTTTATTCTTTGCAACGAATAAAACAAGTGTACATGTATACCGGCGTTTTATGTTAGGTAAGTTCAATTAGACGTATTGTACAAAAAAAGGTTGAACTTTTTTGTTCGAAACGAGTTTGGTTACAAGTCCCAAGTTCAAAACTAAAGACTACCAAATCGATAAGAAGGTACGATAATATCTCAACTATCCTGTTACCTTTATATTTACGACACTATACATATGAGGTTGCTAGAGCCAGAGAAACATGTTTTTCAATAAGGTGGAAAATAAAAAAGTGCAATTATTTTAGGCGAAAATGAATTTGTACTTTTTTGTGTAAGAATTGTTAACAACTTTCGGTCACTGTGCTCTTGTAGATTAACATTTTTAGACTATAAAAATATAAATAAGTCAAGTCATAAAATTGAATTTTTACACATTTACCGATGTTACTGTTAGTCATAGTGCGATGTTTTATAGCCTTCGTCGATTAATGCTCTAACACACAAATATTCAATAGTTCCTGAGGTCAGCGCGTTCAAACAAACAAACTCCTCAGCTTTATATATATCAGTATATTTTTTTCTTGAGTATTACTTAATGTCCTTCACCATAAAAAGACAACAATCCCTTCTATGGTGTTGTAATAAGGAAGAATCTTCTAGAATACTTTTCAGGGGCTTTTACCTACTGAGTTTACGGCTTAGAATATAAAAAGATGTTTCGTTCTTTTGAATATAGCGAAAACACTTAGGCACATCCCTAGATCATACCAGTTTCACGTTTTCCTTGATTGTTTGGAACAGTGATTTTGATAAATCGATGACGAAATAATAGCCGTCAAGTACCGGTCTTGCGAGCGAATGGCTCGACTTATCTTCGTGAATTTAACTTGCTCTGACCCAGCTTTACGTAACTTGGCAATACGCTTGGATGTTGTTCAGAGAAATTCCTTTGATATTCGCCGCTATGTTATTTTTGCGTTCTAGTTTTCTATGCATTATTTCCATAGCAAAACTTTTTAAATTCTAGAATTAAATTTTTAGATTTCAGAATTAAATTTTAATTTAACAAAATTTTAGAATTAAAGTTTTATGGTACCAATGCTGGGCTAATAATCGTGGGTGTGGACTGTGGAACCCACCGGGTCCAAGATGTTTCTAATTAATAAATTATATTTTTTCCGAATGTTGGACTTCTCTTGGAAATTTAAATATTGAATAGGTGGTAGGAATATCGAAATTTCGTACCGGCCACGTACGGGCCCCATTTTCCAGCTGTGGAGTTTAGTCGCCGTTCGTTTTCAGTCTGTGGATATCCGAATATCCAAAGCCAAAAATAGGTCGATATCTTGCCCCACGCTTGTCTGTTCTCCTCTATCATACAAAAAATTAATAAAAGCCGCTATATCAAGAAATACAAAAGAAATATTTACACTCCAACACAAAATGCGCGTTTTTACCAGATATTAAGCTAAATAATATGAAAAACGTGTACGAAATGGCGCCAAATATGCACGCGTTTTAGTTTGTAAACTATATACCGACCTAAAAACACACATAACATTTTTTTGCGTAAATCAGCGGGTTAGCAGTATGAAGGAGAAATGTTAATTATAACGAAATTGTTCACGGTTCGCAATTTGCTAGAAGATTAACTTATCCCAATGCGGTAATTCACTTCTGTTGAAATACTTATAATTTCTACTCATTGTATTCACAACTTTTTATAGTATTTACTGTAATAGTTAAAAGAATTAGAAAAATATATCATAAAATGTAGATTGTCTCAAAAGGCGTATTATTGTTTGAATTATTTCTATGACAAGGCTGCTTGCCAGTGATATGAATATGTTCTTTAGATTAATAAATTCACAAAAATGTATTAGTTTATATTGAAAAAAGCCGGACTGCGTTTCTCGGGTCGGTTCTTCTCGGTAATGCTGCTCTATTGAACACTTTGCAGAATCACCACGAACAGACAATTAACATTTTTAAATTTTTTGACGAATCTAAACAATTTTTAAGATTTTAAAGAGAATAAAGTGTATTTTATTTGTTATTTTGACGCACAGAGATTATTTAATACTAAAATACCAATTAAGACCGTTATAATTGGTATTGTTATTTATTTAATACTGTTTAAAAATATTTGTATAATTTTTTACTCTATATGCCCATTTTTTCTTTAAACTAAGCCAATCCAAAGCCAAGTGAGGTCAAAAGCGTATCTTGTTTATATATTAGATATTATATATACAAATCAACCCCATGCTTATTTGTCCTCTATCATAAAAAGATAGAGAAATACGAAGGCATAATTACGTATTATTTCTGTAAACTAATGGCCACATAGCTGTGTTTATCTCACAATTAGTACGAGGTTACATCTAATTAATTTTACAGTTTAAAACCTTTAAAAGTAAAGTGATTTATGAACAGCTTTTACGTAAAAATCATTATCTGTTTCGTTGTTATTCTCAACCAAAACGTATGGATGTAATTTTAAAATTAATAAACCCAACTCGTAGAACACAAAGAAACGTTTGTAATGGAAATTGTAAATAAGAAAACTAAGCTGTTTTTGGCGCGGTTTTCACATTATTTTGTTTTTTACAGATGGCGGGGAAGTGTGTACAAGTTGGTGTGGCGCGAGTTATTAGCATATCTAACACTGTACTATACAATAAATTTACTATATCGATTCGCTATGACTGAAGAACAACAGAGGTGAGTTTCTAAGTTTAATTTAAGAACTTTTAACAAATGTGATTCATAAACGCAAAGAAAATAATGAGCAAATGTGTCTGTCTGTAGTTTATGCGAGTACATATTAAAATTAACATTAACGGTTTAAAAAGCAAAATATCTTAGTAAAACTTATTTCATACTTACTTATTTAATAAAACTTTATTAAGACGTTAGTAAAAATCTTTTCAACTATAGTTATTTGAAAATTATTATAAATATACAGTTTACCTAATATATTTGGCGTTTTAAACCCTTAAAGTGTTTTATTAAAAAAAATATTCATACTGAAAAGCTTCCGAAATGTCGTGTCGTAGTTAAAGGTATACATATATTACGCGTGTAAAAATGTGGAGTTTTTATTTTTCTATTTCAACAACTGTATGAAGAAGATTATAATACGGAGGAACGTTAGCTTATAGAGAAACAGTAAAATGGTTAAAAATGAAAATATATACCAAATATAAAAATTTAAATCCGGAGAGAAATTTCGTCTTACCCGGGATTCGAAGTTAAGAATTAATAGATTTGTGGTCGACTAACCTTGATCAATGAGGCAGTTAAGTTAAGTTATCACAACTTTATACATACGCTTAAATACTCAGGTTACAATAAACAACTAGATATTTTTTTCTGTAATTAACCTATTATAACCTAATTTTTTTTGGACTGTTAATGATTCATATAATGTAAAAACAAGTTAAATAATTCACAGCCTTCGAGTACTTACCTACTGTTTTTTCATAATTAATTTCGTCGAACGGGTTTTCCGAAGACAAAGCAGGTTTTATATTTCGGTGCATTTGTTACCTATTTCAAAAGCACACGAGATCTTGGGTTCCTGGTAAAACAGCAAATTGTTTATAGGTTAATCAACTATTTGTCTGTAAATTTAACATTAAAACAGACACAGTCTTCGCAACAAATCCCGCAGGGGAAAGTGGGTTTTGTTCTGTTGTCTGAGTGTTAAAGATAAAAATGTATTGCAGAATTGTTAACGGAAGAAAATGGAATCTTTCAAAATGTATGATTCGAATTTTGAATTTCGGTGATTCCCCGATAACGGAAGCACGTTCGCGACTCCGAACGCTTTGATATAAAAAGTGTACAGATAATAAATATATTCCCACCACTTATCTCACGCGGCTTAATTTTACTGCCATTTTGTTTTAATCAGCGGAAACAATCGCATCAAGGTTGCGTAGTCTTGCATAGAACTTGAATAATATTACGATGCACTATTTTTCCTTCCTCTTATTATTTTCATAATTAAAACCGCGGTTACCGGTATGACCCTAAGAATTTGATTTTATCTTTTTAATTATAATTATATCACATTGTTTGAAGATATTTTAATAAATATACACCTACACACTTAGGTTCGTATGTATAGTTATTTATTATTATATTAGTTGTAGTAGGAATATCGGAATTCCGTCCGGGTCACGAGCCACAGATTAAAAAAAGTCGTGGAGCTTAATCGCATTTTGGTTTCAGTCTGTGGATCTATCTAAAGTCAAAATTCGCGCGTCGTTTTCAGATGTTATAGTCTGTTCTCTTCTATCAGTAAAGGGTTGACAATACTTAAAAAAATAGAAAAACTTAGTCTTACTCATATAATTCTATCCTATTTATCTTAATTCGTACGGAGTAAAACCATTTTTTGTCGTATCGTTGTTTAGAGTTTACGTTTTATACATTTTGAATGAAATATTCAAATATTATGTTCCACGTACAGCTATCGCTGAGTTATAATTTATGGTATCAGATGAAATCATTTCTTATACCCGAAAACGTATAAAATGGAACTAATTGTGTTACATACATTGATTGTATTGTTACGCTTCCTGTAAACATTCTTTTTTCTCATAAAACAATGTATTGTTGCATATTTGCTTGTTGTGTTTAATATTCTCTTTTCAACATTCGATATTTGAAAATTACCAAAAAAATAATTTAAATAAAACACTTTAACGGTTTAAAATGCGATATATTTTAGTTTAAAATTGTTTGAAAACAATTTTTAACTTCGGCACGACGTTTCGAATGCTTTGCAGCAGCCGTGCTCTCCCCGAGACCACGGCATCCGAAACGTTACTCGCGTAAACAACAGACAGTATTAATTTTTTTAAATGCTATTGATTGTACAGAAAAAAATTACCAACTTCGCTATGTATGCAATACACGAAATGTTTTTTTGTCTATGAAATGCGCCCACGAAATTCTGAGTTATTTAATAACAATAGTAATAACCTACCTCAGCACTTAGTTTCAAAAGGCATTGCCTAAATCCTTAGAGCCTAGATGCCTTAGTGTCGAATCCTTACTAAATCAACCGGGCTCTTAGTAGGAATTCTATTAAAAACCTACTACAGTCGGAAACAATGTAGAAAAATCGTATTTCCAAGTAACGCGTAAACAGGTGGCTGGTAATAAATTATATATTTGTACACATATAATATTTGTAAATGTCGTGAGTGCATACGTACATGTTTGCTCAAACTTTAGCCATTTGCTGATAAAGAAAATCCTTATGCAATTCTAGGAAAATCAATTAATGTATAGATTAGGTTTTTACTGTTTTACGATGTGTACATATATTGTACTCTGATTTGTAAAAAAATGTCGTTAATTAATGACGTACAGTCTTACTCAAATTAAATTTGTAAACACAAGTTCTTTTAAAAGAGATTATAAAAAATAACACTTACAAATAAATTTTACTAATATATATCGCGTTTTAAACCGTTAAAGTGTATTATTTAAATGTTTACTACTCGCGTAAACTACAGACTATAGATATACTAATTAATTGTATATACACAGTAACAATTATAAGAAACATTTCATTATATGTTATCGCAACGGCTAATGCAAAAAATCTACTTGTTATTTTAAATAAAATACTAATGTTGTACTTAAGGCACGTGCCGTTTAGCCTCGTGCTTGTAGTTGTTAGAATCCACAAACTAAATTCTTATGTATTTCTTTAAAAACCAATAAGTGAATTTTAGTATCTAATTCCACGACTGGCAATGAAACGGGCATTAAGTTATAAACGTTTATATCTCGGATTCGAGTTATCCAATATCCTCAATTTGCGAATTTCATAACTCTTAAGAGTTGTTAACAACCGCAGTTAGAATTTTACTGCTAGTTTGCCAAAAGTTTAAAATATTTTTAAAACCCTCTTTGTATATTTACAATTTCGTACAGTGTATAGGAACTTTGTGAGTTTGAGTTCTTCAATACTTGTGGCAAAAACTCGATAGATATTCTTAAAAAATCCAAACTTATGTTTATTAAATATTAAAATATGAAGCTATTAAACTAAAATTGTCCTTCAGATATGTTTATAACTAGCTGCGTTAGCGACTTCATTCGCTAGCATAGTAATTTTGGGGATCCTAATTTGTTATTGCAAACCTTTTACCAACCAAGCTATTACCCATCACACCGAACGCGTCCCGTCGTTTTTGCAAGTTAATCCGGACTTTTTTTTAGATCATGTAAAGAGGAATCATTCCTACATATATATTTTTTGGATATCTTGCACCGTTTTTGCAGCGTATGCGTTGGAAAACCAATTTACCAATTTTTTTTCATTTCTCGCTGCATCTTCGCTTGTATTAGTCACAGGGCGAAGTTTTATAGCCTACAGCCTTCTTCGATAAATGCTCTAACCATCACAAAAATATTTTTTTATTCGAACCCGTTGTTCCTGAGATTAGCGCGTTCAAACATACATGATAACGAACGAACTCTTCAGATATATATTTGTATAGATTGCAGGCGCAAGATCTATCTAGATCATCGTTGTCCTTAACTCTTACGTACTATTCTCGGAAGTCATCGTAAAATCATTTTCAATCCATCTGTATAGTATTACGATATCAGTTTCATGTTATCCATGAATGGGGTCACAATATTTCATGGTTCATTAGGCAAATCTCTGATGTATAACATTTCTAAACATTACGGGTCTTACAAAAGTATGATGTAGTTTCAACGCTATTGGTCTTAGTACCCAATTACCGCGCTAGAAACTATAATTAAATGCTAAAAGTAAAAAAAAATCTATATGTTCTGATACCAAGTTGTAAATGATCTCATTTTCGTTATTGGATGAATTACAACCGAGATTATAGGAAACACGCCATCGTTAATATATCAATGTCTAGTTGTAGCCAAGCTCTTATATTATTTTTATCAATAATGCGCGGAAATTCAAAACTTCAAAACCAACGACGAAGTTGACGAACACCTAATATAAAAAAAATATATATAATATAAAAAAAATTTTACGCGCCATATTTTTTTCACCAAAACTGCGTTCTATGTGTAAGCCAGTTCTAATTTTAAATTAAACCTTTGATAAGTTACCTCTTTGGTCGCCATGTTGCGGATTAGAAGATCGTTCCATTTTTGAATTACACGACAAATATGATTTTACTTAATGATTTATTTGGCTGCTGCTTGACCAGTACAGCAAGTCCGATTTATCTCGAAGGTTGTCAAAATAATGCTCAAATTTCCAAGCATGTTTGAGGAAAAAATAGTTATTTTAATAAGATATTAGTTTCGATATATGTTATCTAGTATAGTAGCTTTCTCCGGATGTAGGTTAAAAGCCATACTGAGTGGACAATCTCGATTAATGGGCATGACGCGTTTAAAAAATTATTTTCTAATCTATAAAGCCGAAGAGTTTGTTTGTTTGTTTGAACGCGCTAATCTCAGGAACTACTGATTCGAATTGAAATAAATCTTTTTATGTTAGTGAGAGCATTTATCGAGGAAGGCTACAGGCTATAAAACACTGATAGAGAAGCAAGGAAACAGCGGAAAAAAGGGGAAAGTTATTCATCCTTGTACGTTTCCGTTGCGCACGCTGCGAAAACGATTCAAGTTACCGTCAACATATTTGTACAAAAGATCTAAATCTTTTTAAATGATCTAAAAAATGTCCGTGGCAGTATATATGTTTATCTTTTAAGATTAACTTGCAAGAACGACGGCACGCTACCGACGTCGTGGATAACATCTCAAATTTATAGAATTCACAGGGAATTTGCAAAAACAAATACTGATATTCAAAATAATCATTCTACGCATACGAAGTTGCTGACTCAGCTAGTAATCTTTAAACTCTTGTCTTAATTAAAAAAAGTACTTTTAAAGACGTTTGAGATCATTTTTAGTAGGCGTAGTGAAAAATTACTAAGTAGTTCGTTTTTAACTTACTTCAATCCCTTATATGCATTAATAATTATTCGCTTAAACTTATATACATAAATAAATAATTATAACGTGTTTAATGATTTTTGTAAGGGTAATGGGGATATTTACTTTTTTAATTCTTTCGTAGTGTTTACCTTCTTGCAATATTAATGTCGGTCAAGAATTATGTAATATCGTTCCATCGATATCGAGAATCGTTATTTTGGGCATCCAAATAAGTTTTTGCAAACCCCATCATCTTTATAAACTTGAGCTGTTAGCCACAACGTCGAACGCGTCCCTTCCTGTCGTTCTTGCTAGTTAATCTTAAAAGATAGACATATAGCGTCGCGGATTTTTTATAAGGGGGAATTTTTAGATATCTTGGACCGTTTTCGCAGCGTACGCACCCGAAACCTACAGAGATGAAAAATTTCCCTCGTTTTGTTTACATTTCTCGCTGTAGCTTCGCTCCTATTTGTCACATCGCAATTTGTTATACCTTCCTCGATAAATGCTCTAACTAACATAAAAATAATTTTTCAATTTGAACCCGTACTTCCTGAGATTAGCGCGTTTAAACAAACAAACAAACTCTTCAGCTTTATGTTTTAGGATAGATCTAATTATAACTGTAATTTTTAAAGATTGAAAATTAATAAATAGTTTTTATTATAGAATTGGTTACTCACTGCGACTTATGCGCATTTGAAAACGCAAATTATAAATTTATCGCATCGTTTAAAAATGTTTATAATCGCAATTAAATCTTTTGTACACTCATATAGCTACTCGAATGCGTAAGATATTGCAGAAGACAACATAATTGTTCCCTTGTGTGTTTATGAATATTTAATGTCTTTCTGCATCGAGTAATGGAATTAATTTATCTTCCTCTTACTTATAAAATTGACTGCTTTGCTCTACGTAGCTTTAGGCATGAGGTCTTGGGTTCGGGGAAAACGATAAATTGTTTCTGTCGTGGCACAGAGGTCAACTACTAACTTGTTAACGGACACAGGAGCGCCCTACTTGGGGGGGGAGGGGGTTTCACTTTTGTTACTTATAAAGTCATAGTTTTTTTTTGACAGTGGAGAACAGACGGGTAAAACAGGACAGGCTCACTTGATGGTAGCTGCAATTTCCAAGCAATATAACATCTGAAGAAGATACGCTGTCGGCCTATTTTCGATATCGAATATCCACATTCTGAAACTGAAACGCGATTAAAATTGACGGCTTTTCATCTGTGGACCAGATGAAGTCCAATATGTTTCAGAAAAATATACAATAATTAGAGAAAATTAGGACACGGTTTGGATTATACTGTTTACATCAACGAACCCTTTATTTAAATACATCTAACAAATTGCATTTACTCACAAATCACAGACCCTGCTAAGAAACATTTTGATGACAACATAACATAAAAAATATACATACATTAAGACAAATATGTTAAATCTATTTCTCTTCTAATTAGAAAATGATCGCTACTACGTACTGCACGTTATAGATCTCACTTAATACCGAGTAAAGTCGCTTTTATTCTAGAACTAAGTGCCATATTACTTAAATTTCTTCTTTTTATTTTTACTCGCTGTATTAGCGACTCCTTCCGCGTCGTACTCATAGTTATTTTGGGCATCAAATTTGTTTTTGCAAACCTCCCCCTGCCTCCTCCTTTATCTTCCATCCTTAACTTTATAAATTATAGCCATGTTGCAGATTAGAAAATCGTTCCATTTTTAATTACACGACAATTATGATTTTACTTAGTAATTTATTATAATTAATTTTCATACAACTATTGCCGACCTCTGCTTGACCAGTACAACAAGTGCGATTTATCTCGACGAAGGCTGTCAGAATAGTGCTCAGAAATGCCCACGACGACAGTTGCGTTCCGTTGTTCGTGAAAGTTAATCTTAAAACATGGACATAGAGTGTCGATATTTTTTAGACCATTTAAAAAGGAATTATTCTTTCATACATAGTTTTTGTGTATCTTCAACCGTGTTCGCAGGATACCCAACGGAAGACCAGAAAGTGCAGAGGGTTTTTTTAAATGTTGCAGTGCGACATTTAAAAAAACCCTCCTCGATGTATGCTCTAACAAAGAGATTTTTTTAATTCGAACCAGTGGTTCCTGAGATTTGCGCGTTCAAACAAACAAACTCTTTGCAAATTTTATTATAATCGCTTTGTTTATTACAAACGTAACTCAATGCGCTCTGTTTGAAATTTTAAACACACCTTAAATCCTGAAAATAACTCTTGAATCTGAGGAAGTCCATTAGTTTCTCACAAGAATAAAACGACCATAAAATACGTTTAGCTCATATGCTATCGTTCATGCGACGGATATACAATGAAACAATATAAATTACAAACAGACATTGTCTTTCCGACACTTTGTATAACTAAATTGCGAGAAACATTCACTGTTCGTATTAATAGCATTTGGTTTTACTTCTGTATTGAGGATAAGTCATTGAGGTGTAGTTGATTTTCATTTAATATGGTCCCGTTTTAGTTTAGACTAGCTATGTCAGCGACTTCGTCCGCGTAGAATAGTTATTTCGCTTTCAAGTTTGTAGCAAACCTTTATAAATTTAAGCTGTTACCCACGACGTCGTCCGCGTTACGTCGTTCTTGCATTCGTTAAAAAAGACATAATGTCGCAGACATTTTTAGATCATTTAAAGAAGAATCACTCTTTCATACATATTTTTTTGAATTCTTGAAGCGTTTATGTAGAGCACACAAACACAAAGGATGCCCTCAAAGATGAATAAATTTCAATATTTTTCATTTCCTTTCTGTTTCTTCGCCTGATGTTTTGTAGCCTATAATAACCTTCACATTTTCAATCAACAATGACATTTTCAGTTTCATAATATTGGCACAGATGTAAGACCAGAAAGTGTAACTGATTCGTGGGAGTGAAAGTGTAGTGATTACTCATTATAGGTATCATCCCAATAAAATTCTATAGACGATAAAATGAGACATGCCTAAGTCATACATTTAAATACTTCTGTCAATACAGCCAACTCTTTCAAACTAGACAATAAATAAGATTTGTTAGAATGAAACAAACAATGTCGCTCAGTACGTCCACTAATCCCATCTTAGTTTTTAAGGTGAAAATAGCTCAATTGCGACGTCAGTAACACATTATCTTCTTTTCAGGATATTTGAAAAGGTCCGACAATACTTCGGCGCGCAAAGCGAGTCAATACCGATGTCTTTCGTCCTGGGCTTTTACGTCAGTCTTGTTGTGAAGAGATGGTGGGAACAGTATAAGCTCCTCCCCTGGCCTGACACCTTGGCACTATTCATCTCTGCTGGGATACCTGGAGCGGTTAGTAAAGTAAAGACAAGCATTTAAGATTCTATGCGCTGCGTGAAACATGAAGACTGCAATTTACGCTATCAGTGTTCTATTTTTAAACAACTTCATCGAATTAAATTATTACGTCCTACGTAATTACTACGTCCACTGAAAATCCAAACTTAATGTCGGGTAGATCAGAAATTAGCAAATGTTTCAATTCGATGAAGTTTTTCATTTGACTCCATAAGGGTCTGAATATAACAGTACCCCGACTGCAAATGGAAGCCGAAATATTTAAACAAATCTTGTGTTTATTATTGCTGTTTAGTGGTATTTTAATCTTGAGTTTCTAGGTTTAAACCTTCACAAGCTCTCCTTTTGTGCCTTACTTTTCTTTCCATGTGTTTAGACAACAAAACATTTAGTTTAAATTCTTTGTTATATTGTCTGCCATCTTGGTTGATCCATACTTCGTAACAGCTACCTCATTCTAGTATTTACACTACCTGACTTATACGAATGGCTAATCGTTGTCACATCTCTTTTGTCGTTAGTGACATACCGTTTTTTTGAAATTACTCATCATTGACCTTGCTCGTTTATACGTGAATATCTAGTTAGGACTTTGTAGGTTCGCTTATACTTTCGTGAACCCTGTAAAGAACTTTAGTGACTATTAAGCAGTCGGGGAAAGATGTAAAAGAAATTTGCAAAGCGATGAAAAACTTGATGATGATTATGTACATATTTATATATCTGTGAAACCAGATTGAGCACCTTTTGCAAGCATAAATGAATGTTACGCCATGGTGTTGTAAAAATAATTAAAATATCACCGCGAAATCAGCTGTTCTTGTGGCAATTCTGCGAAACATATTTGCTCTGCGATGTTCTTTATTTATATACCATTTACTGTGTATAGTATAATTATATAAGCTAACTTTATGTATAATTATATAACATAGATCTTAATTCTTAAATAATTATTTAGGTAATCTAGATTTTTTAAACAGACAAAATGCAACATAGATATGTCGTGATTGGTGGTATAATATTCGCATTATGTTCGCATTGGCTCATAATCAACGGGTCGTGTTTTCGACCCTCGGGTCCAATGTTATATTAATTTTTTTGAATCATGTTGGACTTTGTCTGCAAATCTGGATATTTGATAGGAACATCAAATATCCATCCATGTCAACAAAAGCCGTGACTTTTAATCCCGTTTCGCATTCAGTCTGTGGATTTGGATGGGTGGGACAGGTGGGATCTTTCACCTTCCATCATGTGAATCTCGCGCTTGTCTCTTCTCTATGATAAAAAAATACACATGGATATTAAATGTGTAATGGTATTCCCCAACTTTCGCTTCAAATATAAATACCATATGAAAGTTTTTAATCTATTAGCATATTACATTCGTCTCTTCGCATACTTAATCGACTAGAATTGACAGCAGACATTTGCATTCTTGGCGCCGCGTCTTGGTCCTTGCCGATTGAATGACATTGATTTAACTTGGAACGGATTGTCCGCTTACAGCACCACTTTTGCCCGCGTTTTTCGCTTTACGCTTTAACTAGCTGCGACAGCGACTTCGTGCACGTAGAATAGTTATTTTGGATAGGGGTTGTCCATTAATCACGTGAGGCTTGAAAGGAGGGGAGGGGGGAGGGGTTTGATAAAAATCACGAAAATAACACATGTGTAGTAAGATATCTCGTGTCTTTATTTTTTTGTCAAACGCGCGATTTTTAAACAAATGTAGACATTTTTATTATGGTCCTTCATTTCAGAATAAAATAAGATTATAGTTTGTACCTGTATTTATATTAAGATAATATTCAGAAAATTTTAAGATTCTTTGTAGGTACTAAAAATACACGTGATGTTGAGATGAGGTAGGGGGGGGTAGTCTTAAACCTCACTACGTATCACCAATGGGGGGGGGGAGGGTTTAAAAATTCTAAAAAAGATCACGTGATTAATGAACAATTACAATATGGATACCCCATTGTAATTGGTTCTTACAAACCACATCTTTATAAATTAATGTTGTTTGCGTCCCGCCTTGCAAGCTAATCTTAATAGCCGCGTACACTTTTTGCGATCGTTAAAAGAGCAAACATTTTTATTACACATATTTTTTGGCTATCTTGAACCGTTTTCGCAGCGCACGCAACGGAAGGCCGAAACGATGAATACATTTCCCCTTTTTTCCACATTTCCCACTGTTTCTCCGATTTTTATCGTCGTAGCGAAACGTTTTATAATGAACAAATGCTTAAGCCTTTTTTGATATCTCTATCCAACAAAAAAAAAAATTTAAAATCGAACCAGTCGTTCCTGAGATTAGCGCGTTCAAACAAACAAACTCTTCAGCTCGATGCTCGAACTGTTTTACAGCAAATTCCATTGTCAAAGTATATTATTACATACATTTGAGTTCATTACTAATTACTATTATTTAAGTCTATTCTAGATTATGTTTCAAATTTGAATTCTATTAGATTTAAAACCTCTCACTGTTGCCATTGTAACGAATTGTAAGAAATCGGAGCAAAATTATACTTTAACGAATATTCAAAGCCAAAACAGGTCGTCTTGTCAAGATGTTATATATGGCTAGGTTTCACGTTTCATTAAGAGAACCTCATATTTGTCAGTCCTACTCTATCACAAAAATAATTATAATAATTATCCTATCGACTTTGCCATCGTTGGGTGAAGAGGACGCTTGAACGATAAAAAAACGACGTTATAGTTAGCCTATACTGGGTATACTGACGTCACAATATTGTGACGTCAGTATACCCTAACTCTTTCTAAAAAATATGATTATAGTATATAGTGTCTACTATATACTATAATCATATTTATGTTTTAGGCAGTTTTCTGTTCCTGTGATTTTGTTTCGTGATAGCAATATAGCAGTCTCCATAATCAATAATTAAGACCCTTAGCTTATAAAACTATTTATGTTATTGCTTTAAACAAAGCGAAATTTATTATGTAACTTCTTGATGTGTTTAACCTTCCGCTTTTGTTGGTTTTGAGACTGTATTTTCTGCCACTCCAAGCGTGCTGTATAAATGTTTAACTTTCACATTTTCTTTTTTGTCTTTGATCTTTATTATAGCACCAATCAAAGATAATACTGTTTCTTTTGATTAAAAAAATAATTGATATACTTGTACAGAAATACAATTACACAAACACGTGCGTATTGACAAGAAATCGTAGTGTTTAAAATGACTCATGTCTTTCAAAAGTGGTCAAGTTGCTATTGCGGTAGTCATTTTGTTGAATAATTCTAATTCCTTAATATTAGTCCCTTATCTTCAATATGGGGCTTGGGACGCTTAACTTTGTTTTTTTTTTGTAACTTTGCTGTTGCTTAGCAAGCAATTGTTAGCTTGCAATTCTGAGTGGGCAATAAGCAAATATTCTCTTTGTATATATAGTGTTATATAAAAATGTGTGGACCATTATATCTTTGTCTTAAAGTATAATGACTAAAAGATTTTCTAAAAAGCTTGAAGTCCTTTATAAATTGCATCTATACTAATAAGCAGAAGAGTTTGCTGGTTTGTTTGTTTGTTTTATCGCACTAATCACAGGAACTACTGGAATTAAAAAAATATATTACTTTGTGTTAGAGAATTTACTGAGGAACGCTATAAAACATCGCGCTGTGAAGAATAGGAGCGAAATGTCGGAAAAACGGAGAAAATTATCCATTCTTGTGGGTTTTCATTGCGTATGCTGCGAAAATGGTTCAAAATACCCAAAAAATATATATCAAAGAATTATTCCCCTTTAAATGATCTAAAAAAAGTCCGCGACAGTTTATGTCTATCTTTTAATATTTACTTGACGGGACGCGGACGACATCGCGGCTAACACCTCCAATTTCTTAAGTGGAACAGGGGCTTTGCTGAAACAAAAATTGATATCCAAAATAATTATTCTACGCGTACGAAGTCGCGTGACTCGGCTAGTTATGAATAATTTGAACACAGGCCTAAGTTGGCAGTATATTTACCAAAGCTGCAAATGAGAAATAAATTCATGCGCACGATTTAAATTAACTGAATCAATTCAATTCGTTTAATAAACCTGATTTGATAAGTAATATGAATGTTAAGTACTTTCTCTTAAACTGGTCACGGGATGGTTGAAGGTTGACAAGCACCTTAGTGTCATTGTCAATTAGTTTTACCAACGCCATCTATGATTCTGTTTAAACAACTTATTTGTTCTGCCAACAAAAATCTAGTTTTAGCACCGTATAGATATACCGATAGCTTTAATATAACTAATCATGACTTTTCTATTATTTTTATAAGTAGACACTTAAATTTTAGTAATATCATTTTTTTTACTCACAACATTATATAGATACTATGACATGTATATGTGTCTGTCGACGTAGAATAGTTATTTTGGGCGTCAAAATTCGTTTTTGCAAACCTCTGGCGTCATGTTTACAAATAATAGCTGTTGCCCTCGACGTCGCTTGCGTTCCGTCGTTCTTGCAAGCTGACATTAAAGGATAGACAAATAGTGTCGGAAAACCGAAAAAGGGAATATATTCCCCGTTTCTCCCACATTTCCCATTGCTTCATCGCTTCTATTGGTCTTATCCTATTACTTCTATTGGATATGTTTTACATTGTAAACACTATCTCGAGAAATGGTCTATTTAACACAAAAAGAATTGTCAAATTTCAAATTATTAGTTTCAGACATTAGCGCCGTTCAAACAAACAATCTCTTCAGCGTTATAATTAGTAGAGATAATCATAAATATAATATACAGCTCTTGAACAGATGTCATTTTGCTGTCTGTTGTGTAATTCTTGTGTGTCTGCTTGTCAGTCTGTCGTATAGACAAATACTATAATTAATTTATAAGATTCAAGGTTTCCCTGTGTACTTTGAGAAAAGTGATCTCGCATTATTTATGACTAAATTCTGAGCAATTGTTTGTCTGTACTAGTCTTTTTTTAGTATGTAATTAGGGA